GGCAGCATGTGATGGGGGCCTGCGCGGAACTAACTGCGAGGGACCGCAACTCAAGCACCCCGGCACTGACTGACAGTCTGCCCTGACAACACCCGCAACTTCTAATTACCTCTCAAACGCTCCTCCTGCCGTGTCACTTCTGTTCCTCAATGGAAAAACCAACAGGCATCTCAGTTCGTCACCCCCCTTTCTCCGAAGCAGAATTAAGCACAGGCAGAAGCCCTTTTTGCCAACTAGATCTGTGGGCAGAACACGTGGGGGCGGTGAGCTCGGCTCCCGCGTCAGATGCTCTAGCACCGTGGACAGTTTGCTCTACTCTTTAATAGGTCTCTGGCTTAACAAGGGTCAGGTTATTCTACTGATGATCACAACACCACCTCTGAGAGCTAACGTTCAGGATATGGTTAAGTTTTGTAAGGAAGATGCCCCATGGCAGGGGACAAGGCTCAGGCAGCCAGACATGTTTCAGGTTCTGCTTTGATCCCCAGTGCTTTGGAAATCAGGCACTGAGTTCCTGTTACTTAAGTACTTGGGAGATGGAGGTAGGAGGATTGGGCATTTGAGATCAGTCACCCTCAGTTACAGAAAGAGCTAGAGTTAGCCTGCGCTCCAAGAAACAAAGGAAGCAATGGGCTGAAATGTTGAGTTTAATTCTAAATTAATTCAGTGATGAATTGAACTTCATGGTTGCTTTGAGAAAATTTGTGATTTGAAACTACCAAGATTTTACCAGCCCTGGGCCTGAGCTATACTGTGTTTGTGGTTAAAGGAGTCAGAAGCGTCCACCTGTGTCTAAGGGAACTAATGGGTTCCACTGAAGTCTGGGTTACCACACCCCTAAACAGAACTGGCCCCTCTGCAGCACCCAGCAGGAACCACATGTGGTTCTCAGTGTTATGGAGAAGTTCTCCACCTGAGAGAAGCCACAGCAAACCATTCTCACTAAATCTGTGGAACTCGAAGAAATTCCAGTATTCCTTTTCCCCCTTCCTTTTTCTTTTAATTTTTCTCATTCTTTTTAGTTATTTGAAAAATTTGCTAACATATTCTGACCACATCAGCTCCCTCTACTAGCTCCACCCAAATATTTCTCCTCCTACCCACTCAGCTTTGGGCTCTCTCTCTCTCTCTCTCTCTCTCTCTCTCTCTCTCTCTCTCTCTCTCCCCCCCTCACTCTCGCCCGCTGCCCCTAGATTCCCTGGTNTCCCAATCTAGTCTGTTGCCCATAGATTCCCTGGTGTATAGTTTCCCCCTGGAGTATGGTCGACTAACCAGGGGACACTCTCTAAAGAAAACTGGTCCTCCCTCTCCCAGCAGCGATCAACCACCAATAGTCACTCACCCAGACAAGGACTTCAGGTCCACCTCCCCCCAGCATGCTCTACTTTTGCTTGGTTTGGGCGTGACGTTTCTTGTGCACGATGTGACAAAAGTTGAGCTACTATGTACAGCTTCTGTCCCCTGGCCCCTCACCTCCAACCCATTCTTTCCCCAGACTCGTGTGCTGACTCTGGTTCTCAAGATCCTTCCGCCTCTTCCGCGGTCATCCCAAGCCCTGGGAGGAGGGGATGTCATGCGGATGCCACATTTAGGGCTGAGGTCTCCCTGGTTTCTTGTTCTCTGCACCTCCACCAGTTGTTAGCCACCGTCTACTGCAAGCGAAAGTTTCTCTGGGGAGGGCTGAGAGGCACACGAATGTGTGGCTCTGTGGATCACTCATTCGGACTTGAACACATGCTTGTTTATCAGAGTGAGGGCAGTAGGTTCTTCCAGGGTCTATGATCTGTCTAGTCTCAGGCTCTTAGATTAATAACAGTGCCAGCTTTGAGCAGCATCTTGTGAACAGATCTTAGAGCAGTGGCTCGCTACCTTCCTAATGCTGTGACCTCTTAAAGTAGTTCCTCATACTGTGCTGGCCCCAAACCATAACGTTGTTTCCGCTGCTACTTCAAACTGTGATGTTGCTACTGTTATGAATCATAATGTAAATATCTAATGTGTGACACCCCAAAAGGGGTCACAACCCATAGATTGTGAACCATTGACTTAGACTCTTTCAAAACTTAATGATAAATGACCTTATTCACTTGATGTGGGAGGTCCTTCTGTCTATATGTTGCTTTTATTGGTTAATGAATAAAGCTGCTTTGGCCTATGGCAGGGCAGAATATAGCCAGGCTGGAAGATATATCTTCCAGAGAGAGAAGAGAGAGAGTAGACAGAGTCAAGGAGATACCATGTAGCTGTTGAGTGGAAGGACAAACTGGGATCTTACCAGTAGGTCACAGCCTCATGGCGATACACAGATTAATAGAAATGGGTTAATTTAAAATGTAAAAGTTACTTAATAAGAAGCCTGAGCTAATAGACCAAACAGTGTTGAAATTAATATAGCTTCCATGTGATTATTTGGGTTAGGGTGGCCGGGAAACAAACAAGCACCCCCTGTTCACATTCACCACTTTGTTTTCACAAGTCATAACAAAGGAGCAACCGTCCTGACTTAGATGGTGGGTTTTTGTTGTTATTCTGTGTTATTTTATAGACTGTTAAGTGCTTGCTGTGGGCTCTGTGCTGCATGTGTGCCTGTGTGCCTACCGTGAGAAGCCAACCAGGCTGCCTTGGCTTACCAGTAGCCACGTTAAAGAGGTTACACCTGACTTCTCTTTTGAGCCCACTCCCTCCTAACTTTACAAGAACTTTCATTCACTACACAGAGAGGAGTATGGCTGGTTCACACGCACTCCAAGGTGTGTGTGGGTCTGTGTGGATCTTCAACAGGATCTTAGGAAGCATTTACACAGCAATTGGGCAGAGAGCCCTGAGCTCCATCCAGCAGGCCCCCGCTCTTCCAGAAGCAAGTCTGGCCTGGGCGCTGTGAGCTTCAGCAGAGGTCTGCCTGGCTGTCTTGATTTTCCAGAAGTGGAGTCTGGTTTTAGTCATACTCATCTGGCCAGGAGGCAAGGAGGATCATACGTGTTTTAGTATAAGGTCTTGCAGTGACTCTGCAACCTCAGATGGGATGACAGGTGCCAGTGATCAGCCTGGACACAGAGTTTCTGCCAGAGCCTTGTTCCACCCCAGAAGAGAGCCACGGTTCTTCCTGTTGTATGAGCTCACAGGATTTCAGTGCTGTGCCTGGGAAGCTAACTGTAGCATTCTGAGCTTAGTGATGTAAGGTCCCAAGGCTGACGGAAAGCAAACAGCAGAGAGGCCTCTGAGCGCTCAGCGCCACACAACTCCAAAGGCCTCCAAGGAGCCAGCGTTCTTCTAGGCCAATGACAGATTTCTCTCTTTTACCTTTCCTTAGTGATGTCTATATCTCTACAGCTACAAACCAGAAGACTTTACAAAACCCCTAACAACTATAAATGCAAGCTGTACACAAGACCTTTTGGTGCAGAAGAAACCTGTGACTGCCTTTGCATCCCAATAGCTTGAAAGTGTCCAGAGCAAAGAACGCTACACACGTGAATTACGGGAGATGATAGGTCAACACATGAACCCCGAACCTTCTCTGGGCTTTCGTCTTCATGAGCTCCTGGTGAAATCTGCTGAGCATACCAGGGAAGGGTTGCATGATGTGAGGGAAGGAGCTAAGGTACCACTCTCTCTCTTGCCTGTTACTGCCAAATTTGTATGCTCCCTCATCCACATCCTCTCAGCATGTGCAGAGTCCTGGGCTGGGGACCGATATTGCCAGGTTGTATGATGGGACACACACACTTCTGTCACCCAGGGAAGGCTCTCAGGGCACTGACTCTGTCTTGGTGGTTCATTACACTGGACAGAGGCGACCTGAGAACCACCTGATATGTTGTCATAATGAGCATATCGACTTGTCATTGTTTGATTTTATTTATTTTTAGATGTATTTATGTTATGCTATGTATATTAGTGGTTTGCCTACATGTATGTCTGTGTGCTGTATGCATGCCTGATGCCTGTAGATGTCAGAAGGGGGCATTAGATCCCCTGGCACTGGAGTTACAGAGGGTTGTTGGGAAGCAACCCCAGGTCTTCTGCAAGAACAAGTGCTCTTAACCTCTCAGCCTTCTCTCCAGCCTCTTATTTTTTATTATATTTGTTTATTTTAAAATTAATTTTGTGTGTGCCTACATGTATGATCAGAGGACAACGTGAAGGGGTGGACTCTCTCCTTCTGCTGTCTTGGCCCCGGGGACTGAGTTCCAGGTAGTCAGGACAAGCAGCAGGTACCTGCCTGTACACACCTATCTTTCTCTTTCTTCCACTGTTCAGGGGAATGTTTGAAAGCCCAAATACAAAGAGAACGTTCTGGTTTCCCCAGACTATTTTTATGTTCAAAACTCAAACATTAAGCAGGAGATAAATCAAGACAAATAGTTTAGAAAATTGGGCTGTCCCTCCTCTTCTGAGAGTATGTAAGGAACTCAGGGGGGACCGTGTTCTAGTGAGGGCATTGTCCTCATCACCAAGCTGTTTCAGGTGGAGACAGCTCTGATTGTTGACCTTGGATTCCATGTCCGCCTCATCTACGTAATGCTCATGAGTTTCCAGAGACACGTGTTGGTGTTGACATCCTTCCTGGTCCGAGAAGTACAAATATAAAATGCAGAAAATACAGAGATCACCTGCCTGGGGCTCTTACGAACAAATATGCACACATGTGACCCAGATTGACATTTCTTTTTGTTCTCAATACCGATTAAGATATGGTGACGGACCTCATCACACACACACTCACACACGCACACACACACACACACACACACGCACACAGGAACCATGTAAGTATGTTCCCCCTGCAGCTATCCTCATGGGACCGCCACAGAGAGTCACAGCTGGAGGGTTGATGTGTGGTGGAGAGGTTGACCCTGTTTAGGTCAGTTTGGGAAGTTTTTCTGTGCTTCTAGAAGAGAGGCCACGTAAAAACACATTTATGCGGGCTCCAGGTTATGTGAGCCAAAGGAAGCCACAGATGGATGGAGACCAAAGCAAGTCCCCGCCCCCAGCCGTACCTGTGCAGATGAAGCTTGAGAGGCCTCCGTAGATGACTTCGTCGTTGTCGGGCAATATGAACGGACACCTGGTCTGCACCTCCAAACAATATTGCTTGCATGGAATCGTCTTTCTGCAGTTAAACTGTGTGACTTCAAAATACTGGGAGCAGAGCCAGGCTTTGTAGACAATCTGAAAAGAAACGAGAGAAGAATCAGCGATGTGGAGGGAATGTTACTGCTGCGTCTCTTGCTAGGGAAAGGCTCGACTGGGAGAGCATGCTTGTTTTCACACAGGTCAGGAGACAGCTCAGAGGGCGCATGGTTTACGCACTGGCCGTCTTTACGTGGGAAATAACGCAGCTATGAGTATCTGCAGTGAGAGCTAACGGTATTGGACACAGTCCCACAAGAATGTAAAGCATTTAATTGGAAGCACCCTGGATTTGAGAAGAAGCTAACATTTTCAGGATTCAGTGGTATATGAAGTAAAGACGCAGAAGCCCCCTGTTCTCTCTGCTAACTCACTGCCATGAGCAGAGAAATCCAGTGGCTTCCCCACCTCTCCCACGTCTCATACCTCGCTTGGACACTAGATGGCGCTAAGGGCTTTGCAAGGACGACCCGCAGGGGATGCAGACGCTTGTGAGCTGGTTACAGCCTGCTTTCCCCAACGCACAGAGCAACAACAACAAAAAAGATGGGTATTTGCGTTGGTGACTCACATCAACGGCACCAAAAACCTCACCCAAAGCGGAAACACTCAGCACAGATCAGACGTAATATGCTCCACTTGTTTAGAGGACAGAGGGTCCCTTCACCAGGGCCTGACCTCTGTGGGATCTATGTTTGCTAAGTATTTACGTCATTTACTAACACGTGGCTTCATTGATCTCTTTCTGTGTGGTGGCTACTGGAGGGAGTACACATTTGAAAATTCACTTTATTTTTTCTGCCATGAACTAAATCTAAATTTAAATGAAGCAGCATAGATCAGTGAAATCCGTTCCCCCCCCCCCCCGGGTCTTCAACAACAGGGGGTAAATAACACTATTAAGGCAACGTTTCGTGTATTATATTCTACCTTGAAAATGGATAGTTTAGCATTAAATGTATATCAGTGTATCTGCGTGTCAAGTTATGGCCTGTATACGTCTGCTCTTTACCCACAGAGAACAGCGTGGCATAGCCTACCTAGCCTCTCATCCATCCTTTCCCTTGCGTTGCCTGTCTGAGATAGACCCACGTTTATTCTGCCTTGAACTTATTTCCAGTTCAGATTTTTGGTTTTGCTTAAAGGAGCCAGTGAGCGAGCAACAGGAGCAGCTTTTCTCACCCTCAGAGTGAAGGGTGCAGACAGAGGAGCGCCACTTCCTACAGTGAGCTAGCCCCACCCGTGGCCAGCTTCCCTGCCCTTCAGGGCTGTGATGGACCTGAATGTTTGGATACGCCACAGACAGCTCCCACTTGGGAAAGGGCATTTCCGGTACCGAAATCAGTCAGAGAAAACCGTGTGAACAAAACAAAACAGCGAGGACAGAGAAGAAATTTTTTAGCGTCACTTGAGAGATTAAGGCAGAGGAACAGTTTTTATTTAATGAAGGAATTATCTTTTCCCCGTGCAGACATGTTTGAGGTAAAGGAGGCAACACAGGCGCGGAGGACATTTGCTAGAATCTTCCAGCATCAACCGGGAAAGAGGGAAAGATGTGCTTGGGAGAGAAGGCAATTCCGTACTCTAGCAAAAAAAAAAAAAAAAAAAAAAAGACTTGAAAAATTATAAACAGAACATGCTGGAAAGAATTTGAAGAGTGTACTGCGAAGAGTGCACTCAGGCCTGGGAATACACCACTAAGTGAACTGTATAACGGACGGGTGCCTGTAACTGTCCCTGCTCTCCCAGGGAGCTGCTGTGTGCTGACCATGTGCCTGTGACAATATGCCTGTAGCATGGTTAATACAAATCCAGAGACAGAAATTGAGGTTCAACCTGAAGATCAGAAAAGCAAAACAACCAGCCACTGGCTCTTACCTCTCTACCTCAGTCCCAAATGACAATCTTGCCTCCAGGAATCTCAGTATGTGACTGAGACTGAGAGCTGTCTCCTCCGGTTTTTATATTCATCTCCAGTGCTGGGATTAAAGGCATGCACCACTACCTCCTGGTTTCTATGGAGAACTAGTGTGGCTCCTGGGATTAAAGGTGTGTGGCACACCTGGCTGGTCTGTAAGGCTGACCAGTGAAGCTGTTTTACACTCTGAACCTCAGGCAAGCTTTATTTATTAAAATGCAAATGAAATATCACTACAAACACCTTATGTATCCTCCCTCTTTAATGTGGGGTCAAAGTGGCAAGGTATTCTGAGAGGGGCAATGAGGCACTTACATGTAGGAATAACCAATTAAAAAAAAAGACTCCTCTTTGTCATCAAAAATAATACAATCAAATTTATGTGGGCAATGGAAGATGTATCAGGCAAATTGCTAATTCCGTGCAAAGCAGTGACAATCACCTTCTTTGGGCTGACAGAGGGAAGAGCATTCTGTGACAGAGAGAGACCTGGGTCTGGCAAATGGGTCAGAGTAGGGGAAGAGTGACTGCAGCAGAGAGGAGCGGAGTAGGGCAGAGTGTGCTGGGGACGGTGAGGGGAAAGCCCTTGACCGGTGGTGGTCGGGCGTTTTCCATATGCACACCATGCAAATTCCCTCACTCCACACTTGTAAACCAAGCTCAGAGAAATCACACCTTCTGGACACAATGCCACGGCTGATACGACAGCCAGGGGGAGTGTTTGATGGTCTTACCCCAAGCCCCACTCCACACATGAAAACCCATCACATCTACACCACGGTCATGTGAAGGTCAACATCAGCTCTTGTTACTTCATGACTGGCGTTTGGGGGCAGCACCTCTTCCAAGCGGGAACGGATGGTGTAGCCCTGGGATCCTTGGTATTCCAGAGTTCATACCTGCCTGTGCTTTATATTCAAGGCCAACCCAGATGACTTAGTGTGACCCTATCTCTAAAACACAAATAAACAAAGGAACAAAAATGAAAACGGGCCAGGGATGTGAGGCCATGCTAAGGCCCTGTTACCAAAAAAAAAAAAAAGCAAACAGAAAAAAAGGAGAAAGAAAAGGAAAAGGAAGGAGAGAAAAAGAAGAAACATGCCTCCTCTGGGGTGAGCCTTGGATGTGGAAGTCTGTTCCGCACATCTGCCGTCGTTCAGCAATATCCTTCTGCCAGGGGCACACACAGCCTTCCCCCCACCCCCCACCCACAGTGAAAGATTTAAAGTACGGCGGAGGCTCACAACATTTATGAGTTTCTGACACAAGCTTCAAACTTTATGAATTGCTGACGTGAATAATGATTTAGCTAACGAGGAAGGAACCAGAGATGTACCTGGAATTGTCTATTACCCAAATTAACAACCACCTCCAATTAAGAAGTGTATCTGTCTGGCTCTGACTCTCTAGTGCGCTTGCTCAGTTTCTCTCTCTCTCTCTCTCTCTCTCTCTCTCTCTCTCTCTCTCTCTCTTTCCCTCTCTCTCCCTCACCCCACCTTCCTATCTTTCCTTCACATGGACATAAATTCAGTTACTCCATTACCCAGCTGCAGAGTCAACTGTAGACATTTTCAACAGAGTTTGCCGAACATTTTTAGTATGCCTTTCTACACATTTATGTGTTTTAGAATATTTTCCTTACATAAACACGAATCAGTAAAATATCTGTAAGACTTATGAGTGTGTTCATTGTAAGACATGGTAAGACACACGGGCTTCCCAAGTTGGCGTGAGACTGAATGCAGTGTGTCGGTCGGTCGTTTATGAGACGCCTGGCTCGGTTGAACTGGGATTCTAGTGTTTTATGCTATGAGATAAATCATGTAAATTCTCAGTTCTGTTGCATAAACACGTAAGACGGAGAGCTTGCTTAAATTATAGAAGACGGTTTTAATGAGTTTTAGCTAAATGACCATATGAAACAATCCTGCCTCCTCCCTACCCCTCCTTCCCACCCCCACCTCCAAAGACAAGAACCATGTCTGCTGACTCACTGATGGAGTTGTACAGGGATGGTGGGTGAGGCTCACCCCCTTTCTGAATGAATGACTTAGTGAATGAATGAAACCAGGTCTGTCCTGATGAAGTTGCATGCAAAGGGGTCACGCTTACGTGGGCTAAGTTAGGCATTCCTATTCTAGGCAGGGAGATCCACTCTTTCTGGCCAGTCTTAGCCAGGGTCCTATTTTAATCCGGAAACGCATGGGCTCTGTGTCCTTTGTTGCCCCGCTTTTCAAGGCAACCGAATTAGGCTAAGCAGCAGAGCTCTGGATGAAGTGCAAGGCTGTTGCTTTGCTCAGTGATGACAGTCGTTCACACCGCTCCCCTGTGGGTGTGACTCAGCAATTTCTATAACCACCCCCATCGAGCACACATGACCACAAGTACACATATTCAGATAGTGTTCCGGATTCAGTAAAATACAGTTAATAACTCATTCAGTATGTCTTAAGTGCTCCGTCCACTTTGGGTCACAAAAGGAAGGGGCCACATTCCTGTATTTCTTCATAAATGGTGAAATTCAGAAAACATATGTTTTCAGCAGCTTAAATCCCACAACTGCCCAGGAAATCAGGGAAAAAAAATCATATAGGCATTTTAGGTAAAATGGAAAAGAAATTAAGTTATACAAATTAAGATGGATGATTAAGTTGAAAGATAGGACTTTGGAATTCTCCCTAGAATATTTCTAACAATGGGTCTTGGCTGGTTACTTTTTGGTTTTCCATTCCCCCTTTCCAATCTCATCCCTGGGAAGTTGGTAAGACATAGACATTTTCTGTTCTCCGAGGGCACAGGACGAGGAGAAAAGGGAGGGTGGTGTTCTTCAGACCTAATGCAGAAAGAGACACCTCTGGTCTTTGACTTGTACTATAAGCATGCTGAGATGCAGCCCCAGGGAGGCAGGCAGCTCTGCTTCTCCTGCAGAAGCAGAAAATTGAACATTTCTAATGCTCTCTTCTGTCTTATCCAGAACCAGATACCCATCAGATAGGCATTTTAACAACAAAAACAACAAAATGTACTGTTGAAGAACCATTATCACCACCGTGGCGGGCGTAATTATTGACAACTCTGACTGATGGGAACTGTCGTCCTTGCGAACAAGGGTCCTGGAAAA